TCAAGTTAAGATAAAGTCATACTGGATTAGGATGGACCCTAAATCAAATATGACTGGTGTCCTTATACGAAGAAAGAAATTTGTACAGAGACACAAACGGATGGGGGAGAGGTCATGGGAAGATGGAAGCAGAAATTGAAATGCTTCATCTACAAGCTAGGGAACACCAAGGGTTGCTGGTAACCACCAGAAGCTAGAAGAGACAGAGAAGGATCCTCCCCCAAGGAGCTTTAGCGAGCACGGCCCTGCCAACGCTTTGATTTCAGACGTCCAGCCTCCAGAACTGTGAGAGAACAAATTTCTCTTGTTATTACCCACCAGGTTTATGGTAATTTGTTACGGCAGCCCTAGGAAACTAATACAGTCTATTAATTGGTAAATGGATAAACTAAATGTGGTAAATTTGCGTAAGGAAACTATTCATCAATAAAAAGGAATGCAGTACTGATACATGCTACAACAGAGAGGAACCTCAAAAACATTGTCTAATGAAAAAAGCCAAACACATACTGTATGATCCCATGTATGTGAATGTCCAGAAAAAGCAAACCTATAGAGAAAAAGTGATTACCTAGGGCTGGAGTTAAAATGAGGAGTGACTGTAAATGGGCAATGAGGTTTCTTTTTAGGGTGATAGAAATGTTCCTAAATTAGATTGTGGTGATGGCTGTACAACTCTGTAAGCATCCTAAAATTCATTGAATTTTACACTTAAAACAGGTGAATTTTATGGTATATTATATCCCAATAAAGTTGTTTAAAAAAATAGGAGTTTCCATTATCCTGAAACACCCTACTCTTGTTAGAGCTTCTCCTGGGAACTCTACCTGCAGTGATCTACAGGAAAACTTGAACCATGCCACTGGGACTTGGGATAAGTTAAAGAGGAAAATACTATATCATTTGATAGATTAAGCTAATATCTAAAAAGAATGATACAGTGTTCTTCAAACATAGGATTCAGGCTGAAACCTTCATTTCTCGTCTCTCCATTTCCCCCCTAGAGCCCAGATATTTCTGGGTATCTGGTTGGCAGGAACAACGCAAATGGAGTGGACCTGAACCGCAACTTTCCGGATCTCAATACCTACATCTACTACAATGAGAAGCATGGAGGCCCCAACCACCACTTGCCCCTTCCAGACAACTGGAAAAGTCAGGTATGAGAAGAAATTTGTGTACAGAAGTATGTAAATCAGCAATTTCTTTTAGCAATCTTTACATCAACTAAACAAGCAGGAATTAACCATAACTCAACTCTGTGTTAATGTGTCTAGAGCAACAATAACTATCTTTTTTTTTTTAA